TCCTCACAAATAAACACATGGGGATATTGAATGAGGACCAGTGAACGGAATAAAGACGCCCCTAGAGAAGCAAGATTTGATGTTATATCTGAAGCCTTGAACTGTGATGACTCCTGTTTGGGAAAGGAGGTTTTTTGTGTGCCTCAGAATATCATGGCTACCAAACCATTGCCTCCGCTTAATTCAGTGTTTAGTCCCAGATGAAATCCCTTTAGGACAGAAGTTTCTTGCCCAATGATAGAGTGAAGCTGTGAATGGATGCATGCACTGTTGGCCTGCATTTATTCGCCCTCTGTGAAGGCTACATGAGAGGGTCTCAGAGTTGGGCTGGCCAGGCTGTGTATTCTCTCTGAGTGTGCTCAAGGGGGACCCAGGGGCCTGAGCCTTCAGAAGGTGGAAAATGAGACCAGTATTTTGTTGTTGTTGTTTTTTGTTTGTTTTGTTTGAGATTCTGCCCATTTGTGGGTTTGGCTAACCCAGTAGTTCCCCTCTAGCATGTAGAGGGGTTGGGCCTCTGCTAAGCAGGTGCCGTGGTGTGGAGGAGCCAGGAGCCATACTCGGCTCCCGAGGCAGTGAGGCAGCTACGGGAAGCGGTGACGCCATGTAGAAGATCATAAGGGCCTGGAAGGCTGCAAACTGAGCAGAGGTCTGAGCACAGGGACATAACTGCAGCCAGTGCAGAGCACTGTCAAGGGATAGGCAGTCCTAGCATAGGCCAGGAAACTGTCCGTAACCAAGAAGCTCTTCATGTGTTGGTAACGGCAGCCTTCCCAAATCCCCAGCACTTGGCAGGCTGAGCACCTTGCTTCGTGTGTGTGCTGAGCAGAGCTGGTCCCGCACCTTCACGCGGTCTGCAGGAGCTTCTGCGAACCCATGCTGAGTGGCCAGTGGGGAGCAGCCTCTGGGGCAGGCTCTCCTGGGATTACTTGTCCCACCAGTGGACTTAGTGTCCTTTCTGTCAAGTTTTTCCCAAGAAAAGTGTTTCAAAGAAACACTTGTGAGTGCCTTAAAGGTAGAGAAATAACTGCTGAAGCCAAGAGACAGGGACGTCGGTGCTCAGGAGCAATGGCTGTGACAGTGGACTGTGTTCATGAACAGACCGTCTCCGTGGGAAGGAGAAGTGAATAGACACAGGATGGTTGGCAGTGCCCAGTGATGTCCAATTTCATCAAAGATACTCCATACCAATCTTCCTAACATAGTCTGTATGGAAGAAAGAAGATCCTCTCAGTTAGGAATCTGCTCAAAGAAACCTTGAAACTATGAGTCGTAGAGAAACTGATCTAAGCAACATAATTCAGGTTTTCATGTGTCCTTCAGAAGTTTGAGTCTGGAAGAGTAGGCAGGGAGGTGACTGAGAAATCTGCTGAATAAATTTTCTTTATTCAGCATCTGTGGGTTGCTGCAAATGCAGAAGAATCTGGTAAGCATAGGGCATGCCCTGGCTTTGCAGCACAACCACCTCACCCATTCTCAGATACTTGACGCGAACTTCTGCAAGCGAAGTCAGTAGAGTGTAGGTTCTTTCAGCGGTCAGTGGACTGACAGAGTTACTGGATGAAGATTCAGCCCAAGTGACAGCAGATTCACTCACTCACAGGTATGAATGCTTAAAGAAGTTACCTTTTTGCAAAAGAAATATTAAATGATTTAACAATCCCCATATGTGTTAACGTTTCAAATGTATTTGTATCATAATGTGTAACATAACTGTGTAACAAAAATATCGACAATAAACCTTTTAGTATTTGTGATGTGTTTTTGCTGACTTTGAAGCACAACACTTTGGTCAGGTTCCTAATTAGGCCACAACAACTGGGCTGGGACACAGGCATATTATTTATTTGTACATGTAAATTAATTCTACTTTCCAAAAGGAATCTGTAGCTGCATAAGGTGACAGTTACATAAGTATTACATAAAAATCTAAAATTTGGGAGCTACAAGCTGACCCTAAACATGATTTTGGGCCCCTTGAGACAAAGGAAAACCACATAGTTGAGCACAAAGCTTCCTCAGCACCAGGCAAATTGGGAAATGGCTTCTGCTGGCAGCAGTGTGCTTGTTTGTCTGCAAAATAGAAGTGGTCTGTGCTGAGGTCCAGAGGAAAGACTCCTGTGACAGTCGTGCTGTGACCATCTGCTGTCACGGTGGCTAAAGAAGAACTAACGGCTTTGAAAGCTTTTGATTCTTTAAAAGTCAAGAAAATTTCCAGGAGGAGGCACAGAGCTGCCACACAAGTCGCTAGCTGTGCTGGCCCCAGACTCCTCCATGTCTGCATGTAGGGAATTGAGTTTGGAGGGAAATGGCGGCGTTGCATAAGCGCCTTTCCTGAATGTTAACCACTTCAGCCAGGGTTTGACAGGAGCCCCAGAAGGGGCAGTTATCAGTCAGGCACTGTGAGTGGGTCCTGTTGGGAGGGAAAGTTCCCCCATCTGCCTGGGGTGGGCTGCAAGGGTGGGGTTTCCCCCAAAAACGTTGAGGTGTTTGGCCTGAAACCCTGGAGTTCTGCACTCCAGAGTACTGGCTCTTTTGTCTGAATGACTACAGGGCACCCCAGGGGAAAGGACGTCGGCACTGGGTGCAGCTCAGTGGCGGAGGGAGGCAGCTACCAACCCTGCTGACTTTGCTTAGAGAATGACATTGTACTTTCTTTTGACTAAAACAGATTAAACTGCTTTTTATTTTTTTAAGAACTTCTCGTTACAAAATTAATACAAAAATGTTTATTATATAGGAACTTTATCAAATATAGTGAGGTGCAAGAAACTTAAACGCCCCTTAACGCCCCTTCTCAAAGCTAGCCACCATCGGTATTGCCATGCATCTCCTCGTGTATATCTTACATGTGGTGTGTATGGGTTGGGACTACATGGCTGAGGCTCGTCGCAGCTGTTTCTTAAGGCCACTCGGGTATCATGATGGAAGCTTGACTAAGACCTCGGAGGAATGAAAGTGTGGTTTCTTGAGAACTCCGCTTTCCCAGGAACTAATGAAACCTACTAAGGAAGTTTATCCCATCTGCACCTGTGTGCCTTCTGGAGGCCTCTCCACTGTGGGTGCTTTGACCTGAGCACCAGCGCCACCACCTTCTTGCTCCTAGGTGCAGCTGCTTGGGTAGGTGAGGTGACCTGCAGATCTGAACGAGGAAAGGAGGGCTTGCTGGGGAAGGTTGCTGCCTTCGTGCAGTGTGGTGGGGTTGGGGCCTGCTGAGACACCTTTGCCTCAGAGGGAGCAGCGCAGCAGATGAGAAGAGAGCCTGGCCCCCGAGCCAGAGCGGGCACGCCGGGTGGGAAGGGTAATTTTACCAGCGAGTGCAGCCTGCACAGAAGCATCAGTTCTCTCAGCAAGTGGGGTGGGAGGGAGAGTTACCCTCACTTTGAAGATGAGAAATGGAAGCTCAACCAGTCTACAGCCAGTGAGGGAGGGAGCCCAAGACTAGCTTCAAGCAGTTCTCAAGCAGGCTCCTGGTGAGAGAAGGAGAGTGCCATGCTCCCTGGAACACCACTGTGACCTGCAGCCAGAGCTCTCAGGATTTACAAGCCTCTGAGGGGTACTGGCAGCAGCCATGACACATTTAATCCTCGTTACCAAGAGACAGGATAAAGGAAGACGTAGGAGAAGGCGCTCATGTTTATAGTTAAAGGAAATAAGTTAACAAATTGAAACAGTACATTTTTGCATTTTAGTAAAATCTGAGATTGTACTGTTAATCTGTTCGCTCCCCACTGATGCCCAGCAGGCAGCCTCTCTCCTCTCAGAAACATCTAACATGCAAACCAGTGACATCTGAAATAATAGAACCTGCGTGTCAGTCAGCATATGGTTTTGGTTTTCCTTTAAAATTACTCTCGGAGCATTTCCTTTGCCAGATGAGGGGAAGGTCGGTCTGCAGTGTAGCACCTCTGAAGGGATGGACCCTTGCAGCCTGAGCTGGAAATGTGGCCGCACCACCTGCTGTGGTGGGTCTGAAGCCAGAGGCCCCATTCTGTTCACCAGGCAGGAGCCACTGTGGGCTGCAAGGAAGAAGGATCCAGAGACTTACCAGGAATGACCTGGTCAAAAACTGCCTAGACCTGTGCTTCTGACTTCCAAAAAGGGACAGAAACTCAACTGTTAGAAGGGCCACTGTGCAAAGTGGGGGCCAGGCTTGCGCCTCAGAGCCCCACTGGCCAGAATTGATCAAGAAAGACAAGTGGGTTGTGCCACGTCAGTGGGCAGCAAGCGTTCTGAAAGGCAGGTGCAGCCCAGGGCAGGGTGGTATAGATGGCCTGTGAGGTCTCAGGGATGAGGCCACAAAATACATCTCCAGTTCTTAGCCAGCGGGATGTAGCGCCCTTCTAGTTGCCTGTGTGCTCAGGGTGGGGAACCGGAGTTCGTCTTCAGGTGGGGACTTGGCCACCTACAAAGGTAGTGTCCTTCCTGCGCCCAGTACTTGAAGTACTCATCCTAGGGGACACTGTTACCACCTAAAGGTCATTCTGGCCTTCGGGTAGGTCTTTGAAATGATAACCTAAGACTACCCTTGTGTCCTTGGGACACTTTTTCCTCTTGCTCAGCATTCTGAGTCACATGCAGCTGATGACCTAAGGTTTCTTCTGCAACACAGACGTGTGGGGCCCTGTGTACCTACGGATACCATCTCGGGTAGGTCTCACGCTCGGTCATGCAGCCGGGGAAAACAACCAAGTGGACACTGCTGCTTCCAAGAACCTGCTATGTCTCGTTTAGCCCGATGCACCAATTCAGTTCACAGTAGAACTGATCTTCAGGCTCTTAAGCTTTAAAAATGGAAAGGTGCGGCCCTCCCTGGTGGCGCAGCGGGTTAAAGCACAGCACTAAGAAGCTTCCGCATGAGTTCAAATCCCGCCTGTCCCAGAGGAGATCCACATGGCGCGGCAGACCTCTCCTGACCCGCCCGCTGCTCCCCTCAGCAGTGTACTTCGTCGATCTGCCTGTTCTGCTCCCCACTCTGTCTCGTGAATCCTCTCACTCTCCGCATCTCTGACCTGTACCCCAGTTCTATATGAATAAATCTTTAAAAAAAAAAATGGAAATGTGGCCAAAAGAGCCAATTCCAAAAAAGATCTGAAGCCTCCACACGCTTGCCGAGGGAGAGGAGGACAGTGGGGCTGGCAGGGGCGCGGGCCGGTGCACGTCCATCGCCTCTGCCTACGCCAGGCCCGCGGTCCCGTGCTGTGGGGAGAGGAGCCGCAGAGAGAAGGGCCCGCTGGCCGCTGGGAGCCTGCCCTGACCTCACCCCAGCACCCTGGCGGTCTCCCCTCCTGGCGGCTGTCACACATTGAGGATCTGGGGAGCGGAAGCCTGAAAGATGGCGGAGGGGTTAGGCGCAAACTTCTTTCTCACCTCCGGGACCTGCAAAGTGACGTGGACACTCATCAGCAGGGCATTTTCCTGGGCCCCTCCACCCCCCAAGTCCAGTAAAGAACTCCCTCCTCCCACCCTGTCTTCCTGGAGTTGAAACTACTAACCTGAGGGCCTGGGGTGGGGGGAAGGGGCAGTATCCACAGGGGCAGGTCACTGTATCAGAAGGTAAAATACAGCACATGAACTTCCGTCTGTCCCTCGTGCCTCCTCTGAAAGGAGTCAGGAAGCTGGACAGCCCCACCTCCCTCCTGGGTCACCGCAAAGCCTTGACACAGTAGTCACGGGTAAGAATGGGGTTTATGAGGAAGGACAAGCCTTGCTGGGCAGAGGAGCCAGCCCTAAGTGGACACCCACAGGCTAGCGTCCGCCCCGTAGCTTTCTGTTGAGGACTGGCTGGGGTGCCCCGACGCTGTGGTGCCTGGGCACTTTGCACCATCAAAGATCTGGCACCTGGTCCCTAACGGGGGGGCAAAGTCTGCCTCACACCCTCATACCCGGAGCCCGGCCTCCTCCCGCTGCACCGCTGACCTGGAAGCCGGCCCCAGGGCTGCTGTCCCATCTGGAGGAATGTGTTGTGATGACGGTGGTGGGTTTGGCCTTTGTGGGTCTTGATGGCTTCACTGCTGTCCAGGCTTGGAATTCCTGCCTGGAACAGAACATCACAGCCTGGCACAGATCAGCTATGTCACCCCCGATCCCTTGGGACCACTGTCCTGGCCCAGTGCTTTCCACGATGGCCTGGTGAGCCCACTGCTGGAGGCGGCTTCGGCGCCAGGCGCTCCTCTCCCCTTCAAAGGCAAAATACGCCCGTAGAAACGTGCTCCCAAATACACCCAGTGCCAGGAAAACAGGCCCTCTGCATCTGACCTGCCCTTCACTTCTGAGTGCCCCGCTGTGACCTCAGCTGCCCTGAGCCCCTGAGGGAACAGGAGCAGAAACACTCCCAGGCGCAGATGAGCCGGGCCTGGGCTGTGCTGAGTGGGCTGAGCTCTGTGGGTCGGTCGGGAGCTGGACTTGCTCATCCCACACTAAGCACTTGCTACACAGCCCCCCAGCGCCCCCTTCTGTCTCTAGGCCATTTCAAGGAGCGCAAAGACCTCATGAAGATCATCTGCCTCCAGCCCAGGTCACTGGTGACCTTTATGTCCAGAGGAGGGAGGTGCGGCCTGGACCGCTCCCAGCACGGCAGAGGGCCTTTGTACTACCTGGTTGGAAGGAAAAAACAAGGTTCAGCATTTTTTCGCTTTCTGCAATTTACCTTAAGTCTGCAAAAGAATCACAGTAACTGTCTCAGAAGCTACAAGATGGCCTGCTTTTACATGGCTCTGTGCCCATGAGCAAAGGGGCAGGGAGCACCTGTGGTCTGCAGGGGGGAGCTGCCTCCCTACAGGGAAAGGAAAGGACAGGTGGGCAGCACCCAGCCCACGTCCTGGAAATAGCATTCTTCTGTCAATAAGATTTAATTCTTCTGAACGGTAAAAACCTCCTTTTGACTCTGCCAATTCCCCTGCGAGGCAATAGGCTCAGGAAGGCTGAGACTGCTGCGGGAGTGTGCCCACGGCCTGGGGGCACCCACGTGTGGGCTGGGCCTCTCGCCTCCCGCCTGTCACACTAGCTGCACAGGGCCCAGGCCCCAAGCTCAACAAAGCTGTCCTTTCTCCTTGGCAGCAGCACAGCTGGCACCACTGGGCAGTGTGCGGGAGCAGCTGTGTCTGCCCGTGGTCAGTACTCGGTACCAGGAGGCGAGCCAGGCCGGGACCCAGCGGATCACTTCTGCCCTGACGCTGCAAGGTCCCAGCCACCAGCTGCCCAAACCATCTGCTGCTCCCTTTCTCCTGGGGAAGCAGGAGGTCCGCCTCGGGCGTGCCCGTCTGTCCCCAAACTGCCTCTCGGCCAGAGCCCAGCCTTGCACCTGGCAGTCCAGGCTTGCTACCCCAGGGTGGCCGCGGGTGCCAGAGTCAGTGCTGAGCAGCAGCCAAGGCCGCCCCTGGGCCCTCAGGTGATGCGGGAGCCCAGCAGGGGCTGTGGAGGGATGCAGTTAGAAGGACCAGGGAGCAGACATGACGGCCTAGTGGCTCCAGCCAAGAGCATACAAATACAGGGCCAGCCAGCTCTGCTGTGCCTCCCCCGCCTCCACCTCACACGGACCCCCGCTGGACTGGGGCTGCAGGCCCCTCACCCAGGGTAGGGGCCGGACTGAGAATTCAAATCCCTGAACTCTCTGAACCTGTTTACTCTGCTGAAATGGGCTACATGTAAGTGTCCCAGGCTAGGAGCTTTTGGTGGGGGAGTGGAGTGAACCCTCTTCTTCACACCAGGAAGATGACTGAGGACACAGCAGAGAGGGGGACCCGGTGGGTGGTGGCTGGCTGTGCCGTGCATGTGGCCAAGCCAAGTCGGCACTTTTCTGGCTGGTTCCGGAGACCAGGGCCAGGAGAGACGCCTCAGGTCACCACGAGAGTGGGGGTCACCACGAGTGTGCCCGGATCTTGGCTTCCTCAGATCTGTGCATGTTCTGTGCTTTGTGAATGTTTCTAAACAGGTCACTTAGATAATGTGCCTCTTGCAGGAAGGCAGGCAGGGTGGAAATGCTAGTGCCAAGCCCTAGAACTAGGAGGCGGAGCGCCCAGAGGGCAGCTGGTGTGGTGCCAGGGGAGGGTGCATGCCCCAGGCTGCCTCGCTCTTGCTATTTCTGCCTCACAAGCGAGGAAAAGGCTGGAGGAGCCCAGTGAGGACAAGTTTCTACCCAGGAAGTGAGAGCTCCAGACTCCCAACTCCTGTTCCACCACTGCAGGGAGAACCCAGGTCACGAAAGTAAGTGATTGCTAAACTGGGGGATACAAATTGGATCTCTGAAGTGAGACAAACAGGTATGTGCAGAATGGGGACCGCAGAATTAAGCTGACTCCAGAAGGTGCAGTCATGGATGGGTGGGGAGTTGGGGGGCAGATAATCCACAGCAAGACATAAGCCTGGCGCCCGGAACTTGCTAAGCAGAGCGTAGTAACTAACTAGTCCCTTCAGCATCGCTAGAGCTGGGAGGGCCTAGCAAGGCTTCAGCCATGGGCACGACATGATGAGGGACGTTCCAGTCGCTGCTGGAACGTTCCAACAGGAAAGTTCAGCCCCACACATGCAGCTCACTCCAGGTTAGCAGTTCACTGGAAAGTGCTCCCTCTCCAGAGCTGCAAACAGCTCCTTGCAAGCTCCAACTTTTGGCCTGAAGGGGCCAGAGCTGTGGCTCAGCCCTGCCCGGCCCCAGCACACTGTCCATGTTCAGGCAGCTCAGCCTGAGCACCCGTGTGCTAGACACCCAGCATCCAGCACCCACTCTGGGTCAAGTGTGGTCAGCACCACATGCCCACATGCTCCCATTTGAGGAGATGGGACGTTCCACGGGTCCTGATCCTGGCAGTGTGCCAGGTACACATGTCAGCCATGCACTAAGTGGATGGATTTTACTGTGTGGAAATTATATTTCAATACAATTGACTTGAAAATAATAAAACTGAGAGCCCTTCCTGGTGGCACAACGGGTGGCACAGCACTATGAAGCGATCCACAGCCACAGCAGCATGAGTTGGATCCCAGGCCAGGGAGCTGCACTGCAGACCTCTCCTGACCCACCCGCTGCTCCCTCAGCAGTGTATTTCAGGACATCTGCCCGTTCTGCTCCCCACCCTGTCTCTGGTGAATCCTCTCGCCCCACACCTCTGGCTTGTACCCCAGTTCTGTATGTATAAATAAATAAATCTTTTAAAAAAGAAAATAATAAAAATTGAAGCAGAACACTCATGCCTTTGGCCCCTTGAACTCCATAGGTAGGTATTTATACTAGAAAAATTATGAGCAAAGATTTAGCTAGAAGGATGATTTAGCTGTAAGTTATTTTTTTTCTAGAAATTATTTTTAAATGGTAATACATGAGCATGTTGTTTAAAGGCACATGATCTGGAAAACTGAAAAGCCACTCAGTCCCCTTCCACATCTGTCCCATCTCCCTCTTCTCTACCCAGAGTTTACCATTTTCTCATCCATCCGTTCAAAGCTATCCTAATATGTGCATGTCAGTACCCCTTTTAAAAACAAGTGGTGGCAGATGTGTGTGTGTGTGTGTGTGTGTGTGTGTTTGTGGGGGGGGAGGGAGAGAGGGAGGGAGGGAGGGAGAAGTAGCTATGGAAGACTACCAGCACATTTGGGCTTCCCAGTAGCACATCCAACAGCCTGCAGCTATAACCAGTCCTGGCCAGTACCGCTATGGGATTGTTCCCCTCTGCACTGTACAGTGTGGCAATGTGCCTCATACTCTAGCACCCTTCCCAAGTTCAAGCACGCCTTGTAGGGAAAAATCCTGGGAGTGAGTAACTGAACGGAAGGAACAGTGTTTTTAATGGCCCCAACTCCTGTTACTACCCAAATTAGAAACACCCTAAACATTCAATGACAGAGCAGATTAATATTTGGACATATATTTACATGAATAAATAACTACCCATAGGATAAAAAAATGTTACAAATCTATTAACATTCACGCTGTAGAAGAACATCTAGTAACATGGATATGCATCCAAAATAGGTGAAGAAATAATATTCACATGTAAGACTTAAAGATAGATATGCACGCAAGTACACATTAAGGATTATAAAGAACCAGTGTGGAGTGGAGTGAAAAGGGGGTAATCAGATTCTTTGTTTGTCATTTTCAACTTTTCTCCAGTGAGTAGCTAGTACCTTTGTGATGAGCAGGCAAGGAGAAAGCACTTAGCTGTGGGGGTGGGGTGGGGGTGGGGGGGGAGGGTAAGCCCTGAGGGTGAGGGTGATTGGGGAGAACTCCAAGACCTGTCCTGGCCAGAGGGAGCTGGGGCCACTGGCCTGGGTGATCCCCGCCTTTGCTTAGGCCCACCTGGAGGAAGCTCAAAAGAACGGGATTTCAACTCAGACGAAGGCAGGCCTTTCTGACAGGGCTGCCCCAGCGGGGAGCCGATGGTGAGCGAGGTAGTGAGCTCCCCGTCAGCGGAGGTGCGCTGGCTGAGCCCGGAGTCGCGAAGGGACGCCCGCAGCGCCCGACTTCGGAGTAGCCGCCGAAGCTGCCCGCCGCTCGCTGGAGGAGGCGTGGGGTGGGCGCTCCGGGCGCCTCTTCCTCCGACCCACCCTGGTCCTGCCGGCTCCGGGCCTCAGTTTCCTGTGGCCGCGGGGTCGGGTGCGTGGCGCGCTTCGCCCCCAGCCCCATACCTGTACGACGTGGTGGCCGCTGCAGTGGCGTCCGCGTCGCCGATGGGGAGCACGTAGACCCCACGGCCCGGAGGCGGCGG